CTACTCAGGATGCTATGTATTTTTTTTTTTTTTTGATTGATCAAAAAAAAAAAAGGATGCTATGTATTAAAAAAGAAGTCTTAAAATTATAACCCACGCTGCTCATTTAGCTTGTTTTAACTTTGGGTTTTATGTAAAGATAATTTACCAGCACCTAACTCTAGTTTCAGCCACACCTGGAACTTCTGCTTTGACCAAGAGGCCTCGTGAGGAGGAGGAAAGCAGTGCCGTGGCCATCGACACCGAGGCAGCTCAGGAGGACAATTCCAGGGCTCCCATACCTAAAAAGCTGCGCATCAACCAGAGAGTGGGTCAGGAGGTAAGGGGGAGAAAGGGGCTAACTGTAGTAACAGAGTGTTTGATATGAAAGTTGTTGGATAGCTTGATTCTTTATGATCTGTTCAGGAGGAGATGCAGGCTGAGGACAGTGCTGAGCCTGAGGGGGTGGTGCCAACAGACAGTCAAGATGGTGCAGAAGTGAACCAGGTCTGCTTCTCCCGTTTTAAAAAAATACATCGTGATATATTGCTCACGTGTGGAAATTTTTAAGTTGCCTGCCAGTGATGTGCATGGTTACTCAACGTTTCGCTCAGCAGACAGAGGAGTTTTCAAACCTGGAGGAAGCAGAAGATGCTGCAACCTCCCAGTCGATGTCAGTGGAGCAATTATTAACACCCACCCAAAGCGAAACCCCCGACCCACTGCAGCACGAAGTTATCGTCATTTTAACTGACAGCGAGAGTGAAGAACACGAAGAGGAGGAGGAGGAAGAGGAAGAGGAAGAGGAGCAGGTAGAGTTTGCACTGAACATTTTTTACCTTTTTTTTTTTCCTGTCATTGGGACTTAGACATTCTGCTCATCATAGGACTATGCAGAGGAGGAGGAAGAGGAGGAGGAGGAGGAAGAAGAGGACGAGGAGGAGGAAGAGGAAGAGGAAGAAGAGCAGGTAGAGTTTGCACTGAACATTTTTTACTTTTTTTTCCTGTCATTGGGACTTAGACATTCTGCTCATCATAGGACTATGCAGAGGAGGAGGAAGAGGAGGAGGAGGAGGAAGAAGAGGATGAGGAGGAGGAAGAGGAAGAAGATGAAGACGAGGAAGAAGATGGTGATATGGGGGAGGAAGGAGAGGACAGTAACGAGGGGAGTGGAGATGACAACGAGGCTTATGAAGCAGACGACACAGAGGTTTGAACCACTTTAACCTTTGACTTCATTCAGCTTCATTTCCAACACGTTATAAAGTCTTCCTCACTTTCAGACGGATGCTGTCTCATTTTCCTGCTCACACTCATCAGTTGTTCCACACTCTCATTTCACTGTTTTATTTGACCCCTCCTGTCTTAATTTACTGTCTGCTCATGTTTAGTCATTTACTTTTACTCCTTTCTTTGTTGCACATGTTCAGTCTGACATTTAATAGTTTTTAGCAGGAAGGTTAAAAGATCCAAACTGAGGCATCAGTAAACCTCTTATAAACAAGTG